TACATTTTCACCATCAGTGTGCAAGGGTTCTAATTTCTCCCCATCCTTGTCAACACTTGCTATTTTCTGTTTTTTTTTTGATAGCAGCTTTCCTAATGGATATAGGGTGGTTATTAGTTTTTTATATTTAAATTTTAGTCATTTGTGTCCATTTTTGTCACTTACTAGGTTTTTGTCATTACCTCTTTAAGACCATAGACCCAAGAGTCAGAGACAATGCTTGTTACAGTAGGTGGCTAATCAGTACTAATTAGCAGTAATTTTCAAAAGACAATATAGTAAATAGAGGCTAGAGAAGAAATAGGAAGGGGTTAGGATTGGGCAAAACAGAATCAAAATAGGTGGCAAAGAGGAAATAGGCATGGATGTAGGCAATGTGGTATGGAGAAATCTTTTTCTCAGAACTAAATGGTAATAATAAATAGTCATTTATATTTGTGGGTGAGAGTAGGAGGTAAGAAGGAGGAAAAGAAAGAGTTTATTTCCTCATCATCTAATATGACTTCATACCATACACAGTGACCATCACTGGAGTGTAGAAATGTTAGCAAGTATATCTAGTATTACACTGAAGTGTGAATCTACCTCTGAGAACATAAATGACTCTTAACCCTTTTTCTAAACTACTGATTCTCCACACGCTCTAACCCTTTATAGCCTTTTTCTCAATTACACAAGAGACACTAAAGTTTAATTGTAAATGAGTATCTAAAATTGCCATTGTGAATTATTTGTGTTATGACCAAATTGTGTGTGATATCTTTCTTTTTAATTACTGTACCATTTGAAGTAAATCATTCCTTGGGCATCGTGCACTATGATTATTCATAAAGGAAGATTAACTTGTTTATGAGCATTTACCAAATGTTTAGTCAGAATATACAAAGGCCTCTAGGAGCACACAGACTAGATATGAGGAAGGGAAAATATGTATTGGTACACAACGTAACAAAGAAAAAGATTCCTAGACAACATATGATTGAATTTAAGGAAATCATTCCATGCATTATTATTAATTGACCACTGGATGCTACATACTACACTGTTCACTGGGGGACAAGTAATAGAGGTAAATAAGACAGTTTCCTGCCTTCATAGAACCTAGGATCTATTTAGGCTGGATTATATTTAGAAGTTTGAGTTTGCCGTTGGTCAGTCCTCTTCAAACTGTGCTTTGGAGATTGTCATACAATAAGGAATTTGTCTGATTTTTGTCCTGGGTTCCTGGCTCTCAGGCAGGAGTATCTTTGTTATTCATGAGCCTTCGGGAATACTCTTGAGTTTATGCTAATAAGGTGACTCATGATGGAAATCTAGGTAGCTTCAGGATAGAAGCTGGTTATTCCAGAAAGACCAACCATGTGATTAGAGTGTTAGGGCTTTGAACCACATGATATCAGCCCAGCCTCTTGACCTGGGGTGGGGGGTTCAGATGTTGAGCTCAGTCATGTGGTCAAAACCCCCCAAAAATTCTGGATCTCAAAGCTCAGTGGAGCTTCCTGGTTGATGAACACACCAATATACCAAAAGGGAGACATACCCTAATTCATTGGCAGAGGGTGTGGAATCTCTGCAAAATTTGGGGCCCTCCAAGACCTCACTCTATGTATCTCTTTATTTGGCTGTTCCCAACATAAAGAAATGGTAAATGTTTGAGATGACAGATATACTAATTACCCTGATCTGGTCACCATAGATTATATATATCAAAACATCACCATGGGCCCCATGAATATTTACAATTATTATTTGTCAATTTTAAAAATTTAATTTAATTTTAAAAGTTTTTAAATTCTATTTTCCATATTAGCCTCCTAGGTTACCATTATTGAGTGGTCAATAAGTATCAATGACTGTTATTTCTGTTTTACAAATAAGAAAACCTAGGCTTAGAGGGATAAATAACTTACCCATATATTCATGTGAAGTATTCAAGGATTTGACTTCTGTGAAGAGAAGCGTAAATTGAGAGCCATCATAGAAGAATTATCAAGTGGCTAACTATCTTGGAAAATCAAAAGATAAGGACAATCCAAAGCTAACTTAAAGGTTATAATCCAAAGGAAACCAGATTTTAGAGATATCAGTAACCACAAAAGAAAAGGTGACTTTACATAAAAAGGACACAAAAGCATTTGAAGGTCAAAATGTGATAGGAAAAGTGAGGGTAGGAAAAGAAAGATAACCTAGGAAGATTAGTTTAATCTTAGTTAAAGCTTTAGTTTCCTCATCAATAAAATGGGGATAATAACATTTAGCTCAGATAACTAGTGATCATGAGAGTTCCAAGTTAGCTGCCTAGCATTTTTTTTTTTTTTAGACAGAGTCTTGCTCTGTCACCCTGGGCTAGAGTGCAGTGGCGTCAGCCTAGCTCACAGCAACTTCAAACTCCTGGGCTCAAGCGATCCTCCTGCCTCAGCCTTCTGAGTAGCTGGAACTACAGGTTCGCACCACCATGCCCAGCTAATTTTTTCTATTTTTAGTAGCGATGGGGTCTCACTCTGGCTCAAACTAGTCTTGAACTCCTGACCACAAGCCATCCTCCTGCCTCAGCCTCCCAGAGTGCTAGGATTACAGGCAGGAGCCACTGCACCTGGCCTGCTGCCTGGCATTATCCTTGGCATATTTCAGGTTTTCCACAAATGATCATTCTCTTTTATGTCCCTCAGTATGCATTGTTAGAGCAAGAGAAAAATATCAGTGACCCAAAAGAGAGAGACTCAACTATATCTGCCTGTTCACAATCTACACAATTTATTAAGATCCTTTTACAAAGTAAGTGAAATCCTGCCAACGTGGCAGAAGTAGCCCAATGTGTTTCATGCCCCTACCTATAAGTTTAGTATTGCTGGAGAAGGGTCATGCTAAATCACAACCCACAACCACTGCATAATAAAATTTAGTATATATTACAACATTGCAAAAAATCTTTGCATTTATATTTAATATTTATATACATAAATACCAAAATGAAAGTATAGAAACATTTTTATTTGAAACATATTCAAGTCCTACGCTCAGATTATCATGTGTAGCTTTCTTCCCTGCATGACTGAGAAGAACACTGAATAATTATGTGGGACAAGTTTTGCAGGAGAGACCTTTTGTGCACTGTAGGCTGTGTAGCATCCCTAGGAATACTAGGAATGACCCATGTCATTGTGACAACTCCAAAAATCATACATTTCCAAGCTGCATTGTATAAGGTGAAACTATTCCAGTTGAGAGCTATTGCCCCAGAGTTTCCTTTGTTTGGTACAGGGCAGATGTCTGGGACCAAGAGCAAAGGTCTCTCTGTTTACGTGGGTACAATTATGAGCCTCTCTTGGCTGCCTGTCACTGTTTCTAGCTAAATCGTGGTCATCGCTGTTCTCTGTGAGATTGTTCCAGTGTGGCTCCATAAGGGCTGTAGGCCTAGGTTCTTTGAGGCTCCTCTCAGCACACAGTTTCCATCCAGATCGGACCACCCAGCTGTCACTGGCCTTCTTTCCCCTGCTCAGCTCCTGCCCCCTGTGGGGAAACTTATTAGCCCTCGCTGATGGGGTTGCCCTCTGGAGTGGAGCAGCCACAGGGCTCTAGTCTGGATGTGTGCAACAGAGCGCCTCTGACGAACAGGAAACCCCAGCAACCTTGCTGAGTAAGCTGTGGGGAAACGGCTGTGTCACTGCTGGCCCCAACCCCTGGGCCTCCCTTGGGACCTTACCCCTTCTCTTGGCTTTGGGGAATGAGAGAGACAGAGTGCATGAGAAAATTGCCTGTTTTCTCCTTTTAAAACCCACAATATTAGTGATGCTCTCTCTCCCCTCCACAGCCCTATTCCTCATATGCTACAGAGCTAGATGGGGTGACTGCTAGCGACAGAGGGCAATACTGCCTGCTCTAGCAAACTGGGGAAGGTATCTAGTCCCAGTCAGGCAGGATTCTTTAGAATGCGGAGTCATTGTGCCTCTTTGTCCTCAGCTCTGGGTGCTGCTTTCCAATTCTAGGAAGAGAGGAAAAATCCTTCTTAACATCCTGTTACTATAGATAGTTAGTTGCCCCTGGGGAGGGTGCTGAGGGTTCAGGGTAGGACACAAACAAATATTTCACCATATACCTGTGCACTGTTTGACTTTGCATCACGTGTATTTATCTATTTATTCAGTTAAGAGCTGTCTCATTCTAAATGGGAGGAGGAATAAGTTAGTCTACATGCATCGCCTTGAAATGATGTATGTGGTGTATTGCTAAGTTAGCAAAGCAAGCTCCAGCATAATGGGCCTAATAGTAATCATGTTAATAGGTGTAGAACAGGCATAATATTTAATAGTAAAAGGAAAAGAAATGCACAGTCCCCATTGCATGCTTATGTTGGTACGTGTTTCGCAAGTGTGAGGAAAGGTGTGGAGGGCCACATACCCATCAGTTAACGTGGTTATCTCAGAGAGGTGATGATGAGGTAAGAGAAAAACTTGTATTTCCTTTGTTTTGTTTTTTTTTTTTTTTTTTTGTAAGTACATAAAATTCCCATTTTTTTGTATGGTCTTATATCACATTAGTGCAAATGCATTTGTCTACAACCATTTCAACATAGCTCCTTTGGAATTATTTCAGTCATCTGTCATCTGTGACTTCACCAAATACCTTGACGCTATACAAACAAAATTTCAGATGACTAACTTTCAGATGAAAGGATAAGAAACAGTCATCAGATGATGACTGGGGGGGGGGTGTTAATCTCCAACAAGACACTTTGTCGAAATGTTTCTTCTGATACAGCAGTTATAAGTCAGAACCTTCAAAAAAAAACAAGGGCAGAACAAGAGTATAATAAGAGAAGCTTGTGCAGCGTAAGCCTCCCGTAGTCCTAAGCCTCACATAAGCAAGGCAAAGCATCTTTCCTGCAAACTAAATGGGTCTCCAGTATTTCCACCTAGCTGAGCTTTCAGAGATAGATGTCCAAGACATATCATGAATATATATATATATATATGTATATATATATACCATCTTGGCTCTGGTTGCATTAATTATGCCTGAAGAGTTTAATACCCATCCAAGTCCAAAGGTGGAAGAACACATACACTGGTATGGTAATCGGCAAGAGCAGACTGTAAAAACAAAGGCTGCTTGTGCTAGTGCAGCCCTGTGGGAAGTTTTCTTCCACAGAGGCTGAGTAAAACAGTCCTGCTAAAGAGACCAGTGGAATAAGAACAGTCAACGTAGGAAGAGAGAGAAACATTTTTCTCTTCCACTTATTACCCGCCACCCTACTTTAAAAGGTATACAGTATTAAGAAAATTTAGTTGTTGTTGTGTTTTTCTTTTTTAAATTAT